ATAAATATATAATCGGTTTCTAAATATAAATATAAATATTTAATAAGATAGATTTATACATTTTAAATTAAGATTTTAATTTTTAAATATAGGTTAAAATTTTAATTGTTTTGATAACCAAGATTGATATGCATTAATATATATATGTATATTAAAAATCAACAACATTTAATATTATAGTATATGTTCTCATGTAGCAAATGATTATATGAATACAAGTGACTCTAGCAAAAAAAAAAAAAAAAATTATTTAATTAAAGAAATCAATTACCATATAAGAATATTACCTAAATTGCATAATCAAAATTAAAGCCACAATTATAAACAAATGAATGTCATAAAATAATATATAAATGCCTCTGCTTACAAAAAAATATATATGTAAATGCCTCTTCAAAAGAAAATAATAAATAATTTAATGAGTGAATTTGTATTTGATATCTAACCTTTTCACATCTGTATCAATGTCAGCATAATATTTTAGTGCCAAATTGAGTGTCTAACCCCTATGGAGGGATCTGACATTATGAATAATCGATCAAATGCATTACTTCTCGGCCAAAAAGAAAGAGGTCAACTGCATTATTTATGCATCTAGTAATCTTGGAAAAATAGCCACTTGGCACTCTCCGGAGGTCACAAAAATTTTTCAGTTAGTTTCATGATGTAGCCATTTTGCTGGGCCAAAGTAGTTCTTGATTTGTCTGAGATGATGACGATAAGAACAGCTCAACCTTCATGGGAAAAACTTGAATGATTTATTTCTTTCATTGCCAGGGCCACCCTCTTCTGAATGCTGATTCATCTTTCCATTTTAAGCGTCTAAGGCTGTCCAATATGCAGGGATGATTTTACACGAGAAATAACTAAAACTCATCATTTTGGAAGATAAAAAATGTGCTGGATGTGAAAATAATAATTCCTATTTTCCTAACTACAAAAAGAGAGCAATGTGTTCTTCCAGGCAAATCTAGCTTAGCTGCTGGAACTTGGTATCTCCCTCTCATATTAGTCCTTTTTGATCTCTAGTCTCATCATCATTAGAGAGTTCGCTGACTGTCTTTTCATTTAATTCCTCCTCACTGAAGATAATTCCTTTGAACAGGCACACTTCTTTGCTGCTGGCAGATGAGATTACATTTGTGATTGTGATGGCTTCAAGTGCTGTAAATATGCCTGACTAATATTAGCCACTGTCTCTTCATCTTTTCTCTCCATCTATCCCATGAAAAATAAGTGATTCTGACAAGTTCCTCCCGTTGATGAGGGAGGAACAAGAAACGGCAGTCTGCCTCTTTGCCAGTCATGGAGGATCATCTTTGTTGCGATCATCAAATCTGGTTCGCCACCCCAGAGATTGACCATTCACGGAAGCATATACTTCAGTGAGAATTCACAATTGAAAGCAACAAAGATAGGAATTCAGGTAAGGAAAACTAGTTACAAAATATTGTTGCTGAAATTCGTTTAAAATTAGAAATATGATAACAATGGAAGGCTAGTTACAAAACCGCGTAGTAGCTTACCAGTCCTCCATCTTACATGCTCCTTCCAGGTGCTCCATCTTTACAAACTCTAAAACTTCAATATGTTTAGAAGGATCCTCCTAGTTT